TCTAAGAAGGTAAAGGTAAAACTGTACCTTCCCTACAATCTTAACATACTGTCTCCATGCTGTCCTCACACATCACAAACCCTCCTACTTGGTTTTATTTTCTGGTTTCTATTTTCTCTTTGCCCTTTTTCTTCTTTATTCTACAAATTATTCCCTGATAATCACATATATAAGGCAGGAAAAATATTTTTTTCTACCCTTCTGAGTTCTTAGCTGGGACTCTTTTTAACAAAAGGCAGATTAACAAGAAATAAGCAAAAGTTTATTAACATGTATATCTCATATATGTATGGAAGATATCAAGGATAAAATAACTAATTCTTAAAGAGGTGGCTTAGAATTCATGCTTAAATAACATCTTCAGCTGAAAACAAGGAAGAGTATGGGGCCGGCCAGTTTTAGGAAGCTTATGATAGATTAAAAAAACTAGTCAGTTAAGTTCATTGTGTAGATTTCTCTGATGCCCTCTCCAGGATGACAAAAGTCTAAAGTAATTTCAGGTAGTTAACTTTAGTTTTTACTGGTAGAGAAGGAAGGGACATCGTTGTAAATTTATGTCTTGCTTTTAGGTAAATGGGAAAAAGACAGAGAGATTTGTTTATATCTACTTCTTCTCAGTTGCCTTCAGCCCAAAAAATCCTTATGCTGAAGTCGCACATTTTGGGGTGGCATATCCTGCTACCCTTCACATACGCTTGCATAAATACAAATACCATTGTTTATGTCTTTTTAACTCTAAAGACAAAAGCATAGACACCAGTTGTACCAGTTGTCAACCTTCTTTGCTGTGATGTGCTTAAATCATTATACAATAGTCTATTTCCAATAAGTAAAAGAAATGGCATTTGTATTACTAGTATTATTTTTAAGATTACTGTGTTGTCTTATGGTTTAGATTAACCCGTTGCATTAGTCTCTTGTCACACTGCTAATGAAGGCATCCCAGAGACTGTGTAATTTGTAAAGGAATGAGGTTTAATTGACTCACAGTTCAGCATGGCTAGGGAGGCCACAGGAAACTTACAAACAGGGTGGAAGGGGAAACACGCTCATCCTTTTTCACAGGAGAGAGAAGAAAAGAGAATCATTTCATGAGAACTTGCTCACTATCACTAGAATATCACGGGGAAAACCAACCCCATGATTCAATTACCTTCAATAGGTCCTTTCCACCACATGTGGTATTCTGGGAACTACAATTCAAGATGAGATTTGGGGGGGGACATAGCCAAACTGTATCACCCATATATTTCAAACTACACTCTTTGATGTGGTAACTAAAAGCTTCAACTATAAAGTGATTTGTGTTTCTTTTTCTTTATAAAATATTATTTTCTGTGTTATATTTCCTTAGATATGTCTTCCATAGAAAACTAAGTTGTCATGTGCTAAGTTTTTTTTAAAAAGTTTAAAATTTAGTACTGAAAGAGAAATCAGACACAAACTTTAGATCAAATTTTACAATGTAGGAATGGAAAGGGTGTGATACTTTTCTTCCCCATTGAAAGGGTCCTAGTCCACACTCCTAAAACAAAAGAGAGGTTAACAAGAGAAAAGCATTAGAGATTTATTCAAAGTTTTACCTTGAATACATTAAGCCTTCAGAAATGGAGACTTAAAGATTCAGGGAAAACTGTCTATTTCTATGTCTTGATTGAAGATGGAATGCACAGCCATGTAGAATGAAGATCAGACTCTGGCATGTGGCTCATGGTCCTAGTGATGGCCTAATAGGTGTGGGAGGCAGGAGAATTGGCTTGAGTCCAGGAGTTCAAGAATGGATTGAGCAATGTTCTCACCACTACACTCCAGCCTGGGCAAGAGAAGGAGACCCTGTCTCAAAAAATAAAAAATAAATATAATTGGACCAAAAGACCATGACCTAATGGTAAGAGACTGAATATGGAAACCCAACAAGGCCTGTCTTCTCAGATTCTTCTTGGCTTCTCTGTGTGACATTTCTTTTTCCTGGGTATAGCATAAGACCTTTCTGGAGTAACAGTCTTATGATCTACTTTTAAGACAAGGTAGGTGAGAGAATTTCTTTATTGCTAGCTCTTACACAGAAAGTCAGGTGACAGAGTAATATTTCTAGGTTTTATGGCTGGCTGTGGGGAAGAATGGTTCTAGTTCTATGATCTCTCTTAGAGAAGAGGAATTCTAGTTTCTAAGGCCTGCCTTAGGGAGAAAGAAAAGCAGGAGAAAGAAGGGCAGAAGAAGTTCAGAAAGAGACTTTGCTTCTGAGGCTCTTCCATTGTCCTTCAGGTTCAAAGTAGTCAGCATGACAAATCATCATATTTTGGAGTGTCATTTTCTGAGCCCCCAAACAAAAGCTTAAGAAGTTAGTTGACATATAATTTGATGTTATTGATATTCTCATTCAAATTTAATACAGTCATTGCAAGGAATAGTACCGTTTATAAATATGTTATAGTTCCAACAAATTTAGTGAGAACTATCCTGAAAGGTTTTATGAGTGTAACAAATATGTGTGATTAGTTCATAAATTGGATGTTGTTTTATTTGTATCATATAAATTTTAGTTAAAGTCATACTGAAAGGAACTTACAGTCTGCAATAGGAAAGGTCACTGGGTAAGAATGGTTAAGCAACAGAAGTCACTATGAGTTTCAAGATCATGCTAGTTCATCCTGAACCTAGTGAATTCTATTAAGATGAGGAATAATACATAGTTCCTCTGTAGTGAGTAAATCTAACTGCAAGAAATTAAATCTGATGACCAGAAAAGGGAGCAATCAGTGTGCATCTCCGAAGTTTGCATGCAGGTAAATTGCCTTGCATTAAACTGAATTCAGTAGCTGAGGCAATTATTTTTCTATAATATTTTCCCTTCAGAGAATAACTGCAAATGATGCAGGTAGCAAACCAACAACCAAAAAAATGACCTCAATGTTTTATTATCAATAAAGTGCTATAACTATGAAGGTAAGTGAATGGCAAACCAACAACCAAAAGGAAAACGGTGTAACATGTTTTATTATTGATATAATTTGAGGCATACTTACAATGGTACTTTGAATTCCTTGAACTGAGGAAAATCTAAAACTGTATAACAACCCTGCCTACTGATATGCACTGGGAATGTGAATACCCCTGTGATTCACTTACCATGTACAGCAGTGTAAAAGGAGCGTTTCCCCACTGTCATTTTCAGAGAGCTCCAACCTGGTTACTTTCAGTGCCACCCATGTGTAAGTTCAAGGCTTTCCATTTCTCACTAGCTTCCTCTAAGTTTTCAGAGTTCCAACCTCAATTTCAGGCATTTAGGAGTATCCTTGGCCACTGAAGTGGAGACTGTCCTCAAAGTAACCTTGGAGTGCAAATGTGCCTCAGTTATGCTGCATAGCCTGAGGGCACCCTCTGGACCTCTCAGCAAAGGTCACATATGAATCATGCTCCAACATGGTCCCCTGACACTAAGACAGAGCTCACTCTTGAAGGGAGTGGAGGCTGGGAAATCAACAAAAGCTGACTCTGCTCCTGCATCCTCAGCTGCCCTCAAGACCAGTGTCCTGGCCCAGGGACTGCTTTGGCCTCTCTCCATCACTCCTTCTTCTTCTTCCTGAACCACATGGGTGGTTGCAGTCTTTGATTTATTCGGAAGTCAAAGCCTTGGTCCCTAATCTGTTCTTTTCAATCTATTGCTTATGACCAAAACATTATTATTTTAGCTCTTCATATGTTAACACCTCAGAAATACTAAAGGGCATCTCTTAAGGATCCAAAGCCAGACTATTTTTTTCCATGAAGAGCTCTGAAAGTATATTTTGAAACATAAAGGTTTAGGTTTGTCTTCTTTGTTCTTGTGATTGACTGTGGTGTAATTTTCTTGAAACAATTGAGGAGGAAGGACCTGGCTTTCTTGAGGGTATAAGGAATGATCAGCACTTCAGAGGTGGAAGACAACAAGTAAGATAGGATACCAACCACATCATAGCTAAAAGTAAAGACTGCACAGGATTATGTCTCAGCTCTACCACCAATAGCTGTGCTACCATGGACAAATTAAGTTACCTCGATGTGACTTACTTTCCTCACCTATATCAGTTTCTCCTGACTACTTCAACAAATCATCACAAAACTGATGGCTTAAACCACAGAAATTTATTCTCTCACTGTTCTGAAGGCCAGAAGTCTGAAATCAGCTTCACTGAGCCGAATTCAAGGTCTTGGCATGCCCACACTCTCTCAGAAGATTTAGAGATCCTTGCCTCTTCCCACTGCCCATGGCTGGCAGCAGTCCTTGGCCGCCACATCCCAGTCTCTGCTTCTATGGTCACATAGCCATTGCCTCTTCTTTCTTGTGTCTCATCTCTCTCTGCCTCTCTAAGAATACACACGATTTCTTTTAAGGTACGCTCAGATAATTCATGATAATCTCCCCATCTCATGACCCTTAATTCAATCACATCTGCACAGTCCTTTTATTGCCCTGTAAGGTAAAATTCACAAGCTCCAGGGAATAGAAGCTAAGTACCATTGGTGGAGAAAATTATTCGGCCTGCTATAAATTAGGTTAATAATAAAAATACTTACATGAACATTCAAGAATATAATATGTGAAATTCACTTAGAACAACATCTACCATGCCATAAAGCATTCAACAATATATTGCCCATGTTAGTGATATTCATGATGATGTAGCAACAAGCAAATGCAGCCAAAAAGTTTCCAGGTAGAAATTATTTTTAAATAAAAGTATATGGAAGATCTCATCTCTGGATTTTGTTTAATGTGTATTACCCTTAAAATGTTAATATTGATTGAAGGATTGTATCTCCACCTTGAATAATCACAACCCAATAGTTTAGGCATATAATACATGCAGCCACTTAAGGCTTTGTCTTTTGTTACTTTTCATGTGAAATTGAAATCATTGTAGCAATTTCATCCACCCTGAATTCTTCCTAATGTCAAAGTCAAATATGTGTTGTAATACAATTGTCTCATTTTGCTCTTTTGTCTCCTACCCACCTAGGACACCGATCTAATGACATTCAATATCTCTGTCCATCGGTCATGGTGGAGAGAACATGGACCTGGCTGTGTCAGAAGAGTGCTGCCTCCCTCAGCCCATGGCATGATGGACGATTACACGTACGTCTCTGTCACAGGCTGCATCATTGACTTCCAGTACCTGGAGGTCATCCACAGTGCCATCCAAATACTACTCTCTGTAAGTGTCAATTTTGTGTCATTTTCTGAGCAGAACTCTTCTTTATTGGCGTTTTTTCCTCCACACCTCCCTGGTAGACAGTGCCACAGATAAACAAACAGAGAACATCTTTTCAACAACAGAAATAGCAATTTTGGTACCACTAGTATACCTGATGGCAGGTTACACCTTTTTTCTCTTGATACCTAGACATTTTGTTTTTAGAAGGATTTCTTTTTCTTTCTTTTTTTTTAATTTGTTTATTTTACTTTAGGTGCATACTATATCTGGCATTTCTCCCTATGTTATCCCTCCCCACCCCCTGCTGTCTCTCCCCTACCCACCCCAACTGCCCCCAGTGTGTGATGCTCCTCTCTCTGAGTTCACGTGTTCTCATTGTCAAACACCCACCTATGTGTGAGAACATACAGTGTTTGGCTTTCTGTTCTTGTGTCAGTTTGCTGAGAATGATGGTTTCCAGATTCATCCAAGTTCCTACAAAGGACACGAACTCATTGCTTTCTATGGCTGGCTGCATAGTATTCCATGGTGTATATGTACCACATTTTCTTTGTCCAGTCTATCATTGATGGGCATTTGGGTTGGTTCCAGGTCTTTGCTATTGTACACAGGGCTGCAATGAACATACGTGTGCATGTGTCTTTATAGTAGAATGATTTGTAGTTCTTTGGGTCTATACCCAGTAATGGGATTGCTGGGTCAAATGGAATTTCTATTTCTAGATCCTTGAGAAATCGCCACACTGTCTTCCACAATGGTTGAACTAATTTACACTCTCAACAACTGTTAAGAGTGTTCCTATTTCTCCACATCCTCTCCAGCATCTGTTGTCTCCAGATTTTTTAATGATTGCCATTCTAATTGGCATGAGCTGATATCTCAGTGTGGGTTTGATTTGCATTTCTCTAATGACCAGTGATGATGAGCATTTTTTTCATATGTTTGTTGGCCTCATATATGTCTTCTTTTGAAAAGTGTCTGTTCATATCCTTTGCCCACTTTTGAATGTGGTTGGTTGTTTTCTTTCTTGTATATCTGTTTTAGTTCTTTGTAGATTCTAAATATTAGTCCTTTGTCAAATGAGTAGATTGCAAAAAATTTTTCCTATTCTGTTGGTTGCCAATTTGTTCTAATGATTGTTTCTTTTGCTGTACAGAAGCTCTGTAGTTTAATTAGATCCCATTTGTCTATCATGGCTTTTATTGCCATTGCTTTTGGTGTTTTAGTCATGAAGTCCTTGCCTATGCCTATGTCTTTTAGAAGCATTTCTAACTTGAGATACAATTCACACCATTCAATGAAATTGTATCACCATTCACCAGAAGTGGTGCCTTTTCTCTGAGCTACCTCAGGCTCTTCTGCTAATGCCTTCTCCTACTAATGCACCTCACTTTCAGAAAAAGAAGGATGAGAGCCAATGGCTTATTCTGTCTAATAAACAGAATAATAAATAGATTTCTAATAAATAGAAATATTTATTTCTTAAAAAATGAATCCCACCAGAGACTCTTTGCATTTTAGTGCCTAAAATCTGGCATTGGAATACAATTCCGTATACAGAAACAAGAAGGAAATGATGTGATTAGTCCACAGAAGGTTTGTGTGCCAGGGATTCCTTAAAAGTAATTTTCTTCCACTAGGCTGCCCCACTCACAGTTTGATCACAATGAGGAGTGGAATTAATTTAAGGATGTGTAGCATAATCAAGAATCTTCCTTTGAGACCTAAAAAGGACTTACCATGTAGTTTGAGTCAATATTCAATAAAGACATTCTCAAGCTGCTTTTTACATAAACCAGCTATCTCAGTTCTGTTCACTGGTTAGCTTAGTAGGAATAACAGACACAGACTCAATAGTAAACAAATAGATAACAGAAATATGAGTGATATGTCAATGAAGAAGGTAGCTTGCAATTGATTCTAGAAGAATCTTTGAAAAATCTTTGCTATCACTTACTGTATTGATTATCTACTGCTATATAACAAACCACTCCAAAATACAATTATATAAAACAATATTAATTTATTGCTTGGAGTTCTGTGCATTAGGAATTTGGGCACATCTTGGCCAGATAGTTCTTCTGTTTTATGTGGTATTAGATAAGGTCACTCAAAACTCCACACAGTATTGGCTAGGGTCACTGATGTGAGCCTGTCAATCTGCCGCTCTGCTAGGACTAGAATGTCCAAAGAGGCCTCACTCACATTTCTGGTGCTGACTGTTGACCCCATTCTCCTGCACATGCCCATGGCTTCTCCTTCTGCAAAAAAAAATATAGACAGTTTCTCAAGCAACAAGATAGCTGAGTAATAAAAGGAGAAGCCACCACGAGAGCATTTATCAAGCTTCTACTCAAGTAACGCTTGCTATTGTTTCATTGGCTACAGCAAATCTATGACCCAGCCTGTAGTCATTGTGAGAGGAGGCTATCAAAAGGTGAGAAGACAAGAAGGCGTGGCTGTTTTAGAGCCACCAATGTAGTAGTCTACCTCATTTACTCAATCTACTAGTTACTGTTCTTTAATTTGCATGTCTCATGTTTTAAAAAAAAGTTTCAGAGCATGTTTGAAGTACAATCTTCTAGAAAGAATAAAGGTCTGAATAAAACAAAAATCAAAGATCTTTTAGGGTTCTCGTTCAAAGAAAGACAAATTTGACTCTAAACTCAAAAAACACGGATTGCACCTTGATGGCAAGGAATTTCCTTTCAGGCATGTATTAAAAAAATCTCATCATTCTAGGTTTCTACAATTATATTTACAGGTATAAATATATAGTCACTCATCAATATATGCTTATCAGTCATTCCTTATTCTCTGATCTTTAATGTAGCCATTACATATAAAATTGTGGCAAAATACATATGTTTAAATTTTTGTCGTGAAACAATGCAGGGGCAAATTTTCTTTTTAAAAATGCGTAGGCTGTTTTAAGTTATAAAATAACTCTATTACTCTATGCTAGACACTAACAGTTTTTATTAATCATCTTAAATAATGAAATATTTTTCTAAAATCTTTCATATGTGAACAGATTACTCTCCTTTAAAAAAATATTGTAGCAAATTGCTAAACCATTTTGTGCAGTGATGGCATGGCCAGTCCTTTATAATACAGCAGAACACTGTGGAATCCAAAAGCCATTTCCCCGTAGTAACTCCAGTTCGAAGGAACAGCAACTATTTATTTGATAAGGAGCTGGACTGTCACATAAAAACATTCCCTAAAGGGCATTCTAAATAAATTGTATGTGTTGCCACCTAAAAGCACTTGTCGCTTATAAATGAATTTATCCACATTTTAGTAAGCATTCAAAGCTACCACCCTGCACATATAGCTCTATACTGTTCAGCCTTTGAGAAAAAAAAGATTAGTTGCTACTCCCTTAGTTTTCTTGTGTAATACACCTGCAAGGCAAGATTTTTAATATTTTAGGCTTTCATATTAAAGTATATCATGAAATTGTTTCACAACTATCCAATTATGTGTTAGTGGTGTCATTGATTTTTGAATGAATTTCTTGTATTTGTCACTTATTTTATGTGGTTACATTTACAATTATTAGAATTGTTGTTTTGTTGTTGTTCTTGTTTTGTTTTGTGTTTTGAGACAGTTTCGTTCTTGTTGCCCAGGCTGGAATGCAATGGCACGATTTCGGCTCATTGCAACCTCTGCCTCCCGGGTTCAAGTGATTCCCCTGCCTCAGCCTCCCGAATGGCTGGGACTACAGGCGCAGGCCACCATGTCCAGCTAATTTTTAGTATTTTTAATAGAGGAGGGGTTACACCATTTGGCCAGGCTGGCCTCAAACTCCTGACCCCGGCCTGCCAAAGTGCTGGGATTACAGGTGTGAGCCACTGCGCCCGGCCAGAATTGTGCTTTTTAAACATTTGATTTAGGAGAATCCTTCTTGTTGGCCAATATGTGCTGAAATGTTTACTTTCTTACTCAAAATCAGGGGTGATGGTCACAATATTTAACATCTGGAGGGGTGTGGTCAACCAAGTAAATTGAGGGGCAACTTGGGGAAGGGGGGCAGGGGCTCGGTGTCTCTGCTGGAGGGGGTTACCCTTTAATTACTGGGAGCATAGAAATGTCTAGAATAACCTAGGGAAGGGACCGACGAATGTGGCCAGGAAGGTGATTTCGGGGAGCGGCTTTCCACCGAATGAGAAGGAAGTATTTCAGTGTTTTGCCCAGGGACACAGCTCCTCTGTGAGTGTGGCTTGAGCAAGGGCCCCGCGTGAGTGGAACTTGGAACTGGAAGAAAAATCACCTCGGTCATAAGCATTCCACAGACTGTGTATATGCTTAAGGGAATGAATACAATAACTGAACTCAGAAAGGTCAGGGTTCTCCTATGAGGCTGTCGCTCCAGGCTCAGGGAGCATCCCTGCTCCCAACCGCCTGTGCCCGGGTGCAGAGGCCCCCAGCTCTCGCCAGCCCCTCCGTCCCTGCGCCACGGCGGGGGGACCTGGAGACGCCACCTGCTTCCTCCCCTCCCCAGGCGCTCAGGCTGAGGAGAGGGAAAGTGCTAGGCCCAGAAAAGGTTCTTGTTGCCCTAAAGTCACCAAATCCTAAAGCAGAGTTCCTGTGAATTGTCGGCGACACCAAGTTGAAGATCCGCGGGGAATCCATAGGAAGGTTGCGCACGGTACTGGAGGGAGCAGGAAAATGCAATCCATGCTGGAGGGGAGAAGTCAAAGACAAGCAGAATCCGGCGGAGGGGTGATGAGTGCCCCGCTCAGTGCCCACTGCCCGTCTCTGCTCATATGCTCAGCACTTCTCACCTGAAGCTGCCCAGTAACTTCCTAAATAATCTTCCCTACCGAGTTTTGCCCTACACCTCATGCATGCCTCCTCCCTGTAAGATGACCACAAAGCGCAAATCTAATCAGTCATGTTCCTTCCGCTCACCCTTCAGTGACACTCATCGCGTTCAGGGTGAAATCGGAATTCCCTACTGTGCAAGGGAGATCCTCACAACCCGCGCCGGCCTG